ATGAGTATTTTAACTCTCTTTTTAGCAATGGTCATTTCTTCGGGGGGAGAGAAAGGATTTCAAACATTGTAAAGTCAAAGAATCATTTTTGCAAGTGTGACTGTAGTCTGTGCTTCAATTTCCCGAACGGGGAAGAGTGGCGCCGCTTCCACAAAAGCAGGAAAGGCGAAGCCATACTCGCCTTCCTCCCCAACAGACCCCAGGCTCGTCCCAAGATTTCAGGGGTCCATGGAGGACAGCCTGGGAATCACTGAGGTCGACAGATTGCCATAGACCCGACAGATCTTATTCTCTGAAAATCACTGGACAAAATGTCTAATGTTCTTGTCGACAAAGGAGGTAACTAGAACCCATACACTACGGGTAAGCAACGATACGTCTTCCTGTCTCTGCCTGACGGCTCTGTGCGCGGTCCTGCTGCGCCCAGCAGCTTTGATCAGTAGCTCGAAGTTGTCGACGACGTGCCCAGGACACCAAAGGGGGCCAGTGGCAGAGCCTGGCCAGACGTAGTCCAAGAGCGCATGAGCGGCAGGCAGCTCAGGAGCACACGTGTCAAAACGCAGAATATTGTCCATAGAAATCTTTTTGGAAGGACTCCAAGGACTCAAAACTTCGTCTTCATATAAGAAACCCCAAAGTTAGCTCACCTAGCACGGACTTAATTTTCCAGTTGTCTGAATTCCCGCCCTGCTCCCCAGACCACAGGGTTGTGATGCCAAAATTAGAACAGGACACTAAACTTCAAGAAGGCAGAGTGAACTACAAATTAAATAATCTGAAAACATACTAAAACCTGTGTAGGGAGCCAAGATCGCAAAACCTGGGGACAGGTGTTAACTGGTCCAGGGGTCCCAAAGAGAGGTCTGGGTCAAATGCTGTTCTTGGTTTCACTTACGTACACGGCCAACGTGCGGAGCCTGGGCTGACAGGCAAGCATAAAGGTCCAGGGTGGGGGTAGACACAATTCCCTCCAAGGCAGGACAGAATCAGCATTTTCCTGGTTAACCCAGTGAGTAGAACGTGAATGGGGGTTCACGTGACCTGTTTCAGCTTCTAAGCACCCTTGCACATGTACCAAATCCTTGAACTGAGTCAGCATCGAAGGCAATCTTCATGCTTTTCCACTCGGCATGTGATGTGCGGCAGAGGGCAGGGTCGCTGGCCCCCTTGACTCCAGGAAGCCTGGGGCAGGCTGCCAGGAAAGACCAGCTGTTGCAGCCTCTGCTGGTTTCTGGGAAAGCGTCGCGAATGCGCTGGAAGAAGGCTCAGCAGTACTAACTCACCTAACAGAACGAAGTGACAGCCCATGGAAAATGTCTAGAACGACGTGCGGTGAAACGGGACATGTTCAAAAATACTAGGCATTACAGCTGACCTTTGGACAACACTGATTTGAACTGTGTGGGTCCGCTCATACCTGATAGTTCTCAATAAATATCGTACGGTAAGTGCTCTGAATGTACTTCTCTTCCTTTTGCTTTTCTTAGTAACGTTTTCTCTAGCTGACTTTCTTGTAAGAATAAGGACTCACAGAGAGAGCAGACACTGTGCTCAATGACCACGTCACGGGTAGGCCCCTGGGTAACAGTGCGCTCTTAGTAGTTGCGTGCATTTTGGGCGCAGGCCGTTGGCGCCCCTAGGCCTCCCTCTGTTCAAAGGCCCGCTGCGTTTTATTACTACGGTATCACCACCGTGGTCATCACATCATCCCAGGGTTATTATCCTGCCACCTGCTGACCCTCCGGGTACAGTCAGCTCCCAGGTGGTCGAGCGAGATCATGGCACCATGAAGTGGGAGTGTTTCAGCCCAAATCTGGAATAAGGGCAAAGCTAGGTCTAGAAAGCATATGAATGCCATCTTATTTTTTTAAAGATTTTATTCGAGAGAGAGAGCGCATGAGCGGGGGTAGGGGCAGAGGGAGAAGCCACGCGAGCAGGGAGCTGGACTCCAGGCTCAATCCCAGGACCCTGAGATCACGACCTGAGCCGAAGGACATGTAACTGACTGAGCCACCCAGGTGCCCCGCATATGTGGAATTTAAGAAACAAAACAAATGAGCAAAGGGAGAAGAGATAACAAGGCAAACCAAGAAACAGACTCTGAACTACAGAGAACACGCTGCTGGTGACAGACGGAAGGGTGTGGGGGATGAAGGAGGGCACCTGTCGTGCTGAGTGATATATGGATGTGAAACTAACATTACACTGTATGTTAACTAACCAGAATTTAAACAAAAACTTTAAAAAGAGAATTTGTAGTATTTCCGAAAATGGATGTAAAAGGTAAGGGATCGGAACAGAAGGACCAACTGAAGATCCACTTAAAGAGCGTTCACAGCGCCAAAGCCCCTCTTTACCCCAGCACGGTGGGTGCTTGCCATGTTTATTCTCATCCGGAGAAGGCGGATGCTTTACTCTCCAGAGACGTCTCTGAGGGCAGGATGCCAGGGATGCCAACCCTAATCCTAACCCTAACCTCAACCCTGACCCTAAAACTTCACGTACCACTAACCCCTCACGTAACCAGTAACACCTAACCCTAACCTTAAACTTAGCCCTCTGGAGAGGTCTCTGTAGTGCAGGCCAAAAGACCTCTACCCTCACCCTGCCCTAACTCTAACCCTAACCCATGCTCTGGTCCTAATCGGAACCCTAATCCTGGGGGACACAACAGATTTGGGACCTATGTACAACAGAGCATTACTCAGTCATAAAAACAGAAGGAAACTTACAAAAATATATGTAGAGCTAGGTCAACTGGGTAGCCATATGGGGAAAAAATTAGCTTTAAAAAATATTTTGAGATGGATCATAGACATAAATGTGAAACTATTGCCATAATTCTGTGTAGGCAAAAAAAAAATGGTACGAAAAAAAGAATTATTTGTACTTCATTAAAATTTGAATTCGTGAGTATCAAAGTTATAAGCAAACTATAGACAAAAGTGAAAATATTTGAGGAGTGCCTAGCTGGTTCAGTTGGTGGAGCACGCTACTCTCGATCTTGAGGTCATGAGTTCAAGCCCCACACTGGGCTTAGAGCTTACTTAAAAGAAAAAATAATTGCAACGCATCTAGTTGGCAATGGACTTACATCCAGACAAAACATTTTCTAAAAATAAATTTTAAAAATATGGACAATGCTTCATGGACAAAACACTTAAATAAGTATATCATTGAAGAAAATATTCAAATGGCCAATATGTCTATTAAAAAAATTGCTCAACAACAACTATCAAGGAAACCCAAATTCAAAATCACAACAAGAAATATAACCTCAGCAGAGAGCCTAAAATTTTTAAAAACTAATGCTATGTGTTGGCAAGAATGTAGAACTGGAAATTTGATGCCAGCTGGTTGGAGTGTAAATTCATCCCCTTTAGAAAATGTTTTGGCAGTATACAGTACAGCAAGACCTACTTAGACCCTATGACCAAGCTCTTCCAATGTTGTATATATTTCCAAAAGGAATAAGGGTGAGTTCATTAAAAAAAAAAAAAAAAAAGCCCCCAAAATGTTCATATCTGCTTTCAAAATAGTTTCACACTGTAAACCCAAAAGTGTCAGCGGTGGGCATCCTCATGCAATGGACAGTAATCAGTAACAGAAAATAACGCACATCTTCCTCAACTTACAGTAGGATTCAATCTCAACAAGCCCATTATAAACTGGAAATGTCAGGAGTCAGAAACGCGTTTGCTGCATGTGGCCTACTGAACGTCATAGCTCAGGGCCCTGCAGCCTACGCCGGGCTGCTAGCATCTTGCACAGAGAGAGACACTGTCGGGACAGCGACAGGGCGGAGCGGCAGGACGTGTTCACACTGGCGGTGAGCTTAGGGGCTCTTCGCCCTCGTGATCGCGTGGCTGACGTAGCTGATGGGACGGCACTAGCCCAGGAAAGACCAAAACTTAAAAGTCCACCCGCCTAGTTCCAACTGAATCTGTATTGCCTTCACACCCTCCCAAAGTCGAGAAACGGTTCAGTCGAACCATCGTGTCCAGATACACTGCTGTTAGACGAAACAAAACCAATGGAGAGAGAAAAGTTAATTTTCAGTAGAAACTACTAGGTATTTGTTTCGGGCACCTGTGGCTCAGCTGGTAAAGCGATGGGACCCAGTCTCATGGTTCTGAGTTCAAGCTGTAGGCTGGGTATAACGATTACTTAAAAATAAAAATTTAAAGAAAAAATAAACATAATATAAATAAGTGTGCACTTTTATCAACCAGCACTCCCTACCGGAGTGTGTATGGAAAAGTCTTTTAGCCTTCAGATGTAAATCGAAAAGAACAAAAGCCAAATGGTAAAAGAGAACAGTTTTCCAACTAGTCATACAGACTTATGTCTTCCAAAATAAACCTAATTAACTTAATATAATGTCTTCAGAAATGTCTGAGTCATGCAGCTGAACCAGAAAACTGAGATAGCAGGCTTCGGGTTAGGAAATCAATCTATGCTGAGTAATTATGATTAAGAGTCCATTTCAGCAAGAAGGCACCTGCACCCCTCTCTCCCAGGGCCGCTGCGCCCGGAGCAGGAGCAGGAGCCTGAGCGCTGGGGTGCAGGTGGCCCCGGGAAAGGGGGAGGAGGGTGTACCCTTCTCCGCCTGGCCCCGCCCCCGCCACGAGCCCGGTCTCCTCCGCGCGGCCCCGCCCCTGCCGTCAGCAGTACCTCTTCCGCGTGGCCCCGCCCCCTCGGCCTCGCGCCCGCCGAAAGGCTCGGCTCCTCAGCCTGGCCCCACCTCCATCTCGCCTCGCCCCCACCACGTTCCCGGCCTCCTCCGTGCGGCCCCGCCCCCACCGCGAACCTGAAGACCTGCGCCGGAGCTGTCCCGTGACCCCGCCCCCACTCCTCCACCCCGTCACTCCCCCACCCCCTCCCCGCCGCGCCTTCCCCGCCCCAGGATCCGCGTGGCCCCGCCCCCTGCCGCACGAGGCGACGCCTGGCCTCCTCGTCTCCTTGGAAACGGGCCCCACTTCCGCTGAGCGCAGGGGGCGATGGCGGCCGGGGAGCCGGGGGACTTGGGCGGCTACTACTTCAGATTCCTGCCTCAGAAAACCTTCCAGTGTCTGAGCACCCCGGAGACCACCAGCCGGCTCCGCCAGTGGTGAGAGGCTGAGGGCAGGGCTGGGCGAGCCCCTGCCCGGCGGCGGGGTCCGAACCGCGCGCAGCGCCGCCTCCGCGGGGATGGGGAGCCGGGGGGCGTGCCGGGAGCGCGCCTCGCCGACGGCCCCGCGCTGACCTGTCTCCTCGCCCCGCCCCGCGCTGACCCCCCTGAACCCCCATCCCTCCGCTCCCGCTCGGGATCCGGCAGTGCGCTGGCCCCGGCCTGTTCCCGCCTCCTCCCTCCCCGCGCCCGCGCTGGCCCCTCCCCCAGGCTGATCCCGCCCCTTCCCGCTCCGGCCCTTCCCTTCGCACCGCCTCACGCTGATCCCGCTCCTCTCGCTCCGCGCTGACCGCCCCCCATCCCACCCCCATCCCTCCGCTCGGGCTCCGGCCCGGCCGCGTGCTGGGCCCCCGCATCCTCCCGCCCTCTCCCGCCCCCTCCCGCCCCGCACCCACAATGACCCTCTCCCCAGGACCCGAGCCCATGCTGGCCCCTCCCCCAGGCTGGCCCCGCCCCCGCGCTGACAGTCCCCGCCCCCTCTGACCACGCCCCGGTCGGCCCCTCTCACCGCCCGCGCTCGCGCTGACTGCCCCCTCCCCCGCAGGTCCATGCTGGGCAGAGTGGCGGCGCAGGCGTTCGGCTTCGACCAGACGTTCCAGGCATACCGCAAGGATGACTTCGTCATGGTTGGTGTGAGAGTAGGGGGCCCTGGGCGGCCGGGCCCCGGCGGGACACGGGGGAGCTCACCGCGGGGGTACTCCCCGCCCCCCTGACAGGCCGGCAGAGGCGACCGCGTGGGGAAGGGGAGCTGCCCGACCGCAGGAGTTCGGGTGCCGTCGTTAGACCCGCAGGCACACGGGACAGGGTGCTCCGTCCGCGCTGCACGGGGGGCTGCGGGGGCTGCGGTGCGCGGTGGGGGGGTGGGGGGGGGTGCGCGCACAGCGGGGCACCGACAGCAGGTAGTCTGCGCGCGTGCGCGTGGGGAGGAGGGGGACCTGCAGTCCACCTGGGCCGGGTGAGGGCCGCAGAGCGAGCAGGGGTGCTTGTCCGGCAGGTGCGGGATCCAGGTGTCCGTGGGGGCGGTCCTCCTCCCACCCGCTGCAGGGGCTGCTGCTCCCTGTGGTCCCTCCAGGTGTCCGGGCCCCTCTGCTCTTTGCGCAGGATTGGCCACGGGCGGAAGGACCACCCTGCCCAGTGTAATCTCTTTCCAAATAAGGACAGCCTCGTGGGTGCCTGGGTGGCTCAGTGGGTTAAGCCTCTACCTCTGGCTCAGGTCATGATTTCAGGGTCCTGGGATCGAGCCCCACATCGGGCTCCCTGCTCGGCGGGGAGCCTGCTTCCCCGCTCTCTCTCTCTGCCTGCCTCTCTGCCTACTTGTGATATGTCTGTCAAATAAATGAATTTTTTTTTTTTAAATCTTAAAAAAAAAAATAAGTACAGCCTCGTTCTGAGGCTCCAGCGAGGACAGAGATGGGGGGGGTGGGGACGGGCGCTTCTCAACCCTTGATACAGGGTAAGGTGGTCAAACGTCTTTCCCTTTCCTGAAGATACTATTATAACAGTAAGATAACATAATTTTGTTATGACCATGTGACATTTCTCAAGTTATCATCGTTAGATTTTTCATTCATACCAGCACTGGCTTTCAAATTGATAGAGGTCTTTAAAATCGGGACTGTAATTCACTGAGTTCAAGTGCTACAGAAATTTCCTTATGAATCAGCTATTCAATAAACGTTTGTCGAATGCTTAACTAGTTCCCTGCTGGAGGATGTTGAGAAGACAGAGAGACCTGGTCCCAACTTGCAAGGCACTGAAGCTGGAAATGTGAGAAATTCTCTGCAACACAGTAAAATAATTGCTGCGGTGGAGGACACAAGGTGCCTTCCACACAGAAGCATCACCTAATGGAGGGGCGTTGGCATCAGGAAAAACTTTACGAAGAAAGGCATAAAACAAATTAGGGTTGTTCAACAGACACAGAATTCTTCAACAGATTCAAAATTTATCCATAAAGCACAACAGATTTTCATACCAGGCTATTTTTTTCTAAATTTCAAAATCTTCATGTTTATTTATAAATATCCCCATATTTCAGTTCAAAGAAATGTACCTAGAGAAACATTATTTTTACTCACATCACTGAATTGGAGGCCGGGGAGCATAGTGGCTCAGACTGTGGACCGGGAGGGAATCCGCCCTGAAGCTCATGAACCCTTGGGCCCCCTTGCTGGCCAGGAAGGCCTTTCCACGGAGCTCAGAGGGATCTAGCAGTATGTCCCATAGTTCTGTGTTTCTGAACATTTCCCAAGATAGACACCTTTGTTTTCTGAGAGTTCCTAAAGCTGTATAAACTTAGGGCCAGAGGAAACCCAGATCCTCCCGTGATTTGGCCTCTGGCTGTCTGTTCAGATCCCACCACTGCCACAGCCTAGCTCTGTGACACCGGGCATGTCCCTTCACCACCTGAGCTTCCGTTTGCTGTTCTGCAAAATGATCCCAGTGCTTGGCACATAAATACTTTTGAGTATGAAAATAATGCTGAGTGTCTGATGGCTTATAAAGAAAATTAAAGGAGACTGGGGTACCTGGCTGGGTCAGGTGGTAGGACGTGCTTGATATCAGGGCTGTGAGTTCAAGCCCCATGCTGGGCGTAGAGAGGACTTAAAAAATCAAATCTTTTAAAAAAAAAAAAAGATTAAAGGAAGTAATATATTCAGCAAAATGCTTGGCTCATAATAAGTAATATTATTAATATTTGTTTACTACCTTACAAAGTGTTTTTACTTTTTTTTTTTTAAGCTCTTAGTTGAGAGAGAGGGTGAGTGCATAAGCACAAGGAGAGGGGAGGGGCAGAAGGAGAGGCAGAGGCAGACTCCCCGCTGAACAGGGAGCCCACAGCACTGGACTGCATCCCAGGACCATATCCCAGGACCACGGGATCATGACCTGAGCCGAAGGCAGACATCTAACTGGTAGAGCCCCCCAGGCGCCCCACAAAGTGTTTCTCTGGAGCAGTAGTGACTCGTGGTGCCAGATTGAGTTTCAGCGCCTCTTAGACATTTGTCACTAATCTTTACAACAGTCTAGTAAACTTGGGGTTTTGACCCCCATTTTTCAGCTTAGAAAACGGAGGCTCAAAATGGTTGAATAATTTGTGCAGGAATGCACAGCAAATGGTAAGACCCAGAGGCCTCGTGACACAAGCTTCCATGTCATTTCTACTACAAACGCTCGTAACTGAACAAAGGGTATTGCTTAAACCTAGAGTTCCAGATTTAAAATGTTCCCTTTCAATTTTAAAAACAAATTTATGGGGACGCCTGGGTGGCTCAATGGGTGAAGCCTCTGCCCTTGGCTCGGGTCATGATCTCAGTGTCCTGGGATCAAGCCCCGCATCGGGCTCTGCTCAGTGGGGAGCCTGCTTCCCCCTCTCTCTCTCTCCCTGCCTCTCTGCCTACTTGTGATCTCTGTGTGTCAAATAAATAAATAAAATCTTTAAAAAAACAAATTTAGGTTCCCAAAGTTCATTTGTGAGAGAGTAAAAAGCTGGAAGGAAGGAAGGAATCATTCCCTCCACTAGCATTTCCGTGGTCTCTGGATCTGGATGGAGGAAAAAGACTCCATGCAAGAGAGGGAAGCGGTCCAGGCTGGTGCTGAGAGCGAGAAGGCAGGTGGCCCGTGGCCCAGGCCAGGATGCAGACTCCCTGGTGGCACAAAAGAGAAGGCCGTCTTGGATTTGGTTTGGTTTGGTTTGGTTTCCATGGAGGCACTCAGAGGAGGGTTCACAAAAGACAAGCTCCTCGAGATGGGCCCTGAGAGATAGGAGTTTGTTAGGTGGACAATATGGGGGATAATGGGAGATGGGTGGGAGGGTACGTTAGATGACCTGTGCCGTGCGGAGGAGTGTGGGCTTTATCTGGCTAACAAGGAGTTGCCGCGAGGTTTTCCGGAAGCCAGTAACACTCACAATCCTGCCGTCACCTCAGCAGAGCTGCGGAGGGTAGCTTGTTAGCACTGGGTCTGGCAGCCGTGAGGCCGGCCTGGCAACTTCTTCCGCAGACAGTAGAGCATGACAGCAGCACAGGGATGGCCTGGAGAGATGCTTCGGAGGAAGGCAGTATTCAAGGACTCAGGATATTGAGGATAAGGTGGGGGAGAGGGGGTTGCAGAGGATGAACACGTTTCTGATTGAGCTGACTGGGGTGGTAGATGATGCCATTAAAGCCGCAGAAAATGCAAAGAATAAACAAGAAAACTGAGTTCAGCTTCAGGCATTCTGATCTTGAAATGCACGAAGTGACAATACCCTGGATTGTTGAATCTAAGATCCTGCTTTGAGTCTCAAGAGAGAGGTCCAGGCTCAGTATGCCGTGTGGCGTTCTCCCCGTGGGACGAAGGGTGGGGAGGGGACTCTTGCACATAAAGCAGGGAAGCGAGTTAGACAGCTTTCTCAAGGTCTGCTCACACTTAATGGCCTTGTGCCACAGGGGCTGGGAGGGCAAGCCTCGAGCTGAGCACAGTGCTGTCCCATATAAAATTGGGTTCCTTAAGGACGAAGAGAATGGATGTTGGCTGAGAAGCCAACAATCTGCGGGACAGATAACAGAGTCAAGATTCTACTCCATTCCATATGGGTGGCATATGATGGATGTACACTGAAAAATCTATGTTATATAAAAGAATATATTAATTTAGAAATACTTTTCCCAGTGTCACATCTTACAAAACAAGTTTATTCTAATGTCTACGTGCACTTGGCCGTCAGTGTCTTCATTACCAGCGTGACTTGTGTGGGCGCCATCTACTGTATTTCCGGAGCACAGCAGCTTCCCTGGAGTTGACAGAGTCCCATCTCGTGCCTCCCTGGATTCTGTAACAAACCGAAGATGTCATTTACATATATTAGGGCAGGGCTTTTTGGTGTTTTTGTTTTATTCTTTAGGTGCATAATTAGCCCCAACAACATAACAGCTATCATGTTGCTTTATTTGGGGGGCCTTTAGAAAGACTCACCTGCCTTGGCTTTGGGTCATTTCACTACAGCTCCCTTAGACTGCTTCCATTACAATGGCCTATAAAATTCAGTTTTAAGTCGATACTAAAAAGATTGAGTTGATACTCTTTCCCCCTAGGAATAATTACTAAATCTGAATTAAATTTCCCTTTTACTGATTTTTCCAGAAGACGTCTAAAAAACATTCAAAACCAGTATTAATTGAGCTTAATCCAGGTTGTTTCTTTTCAAAATATATATTACACAAATTAAGTTAATTGCACAAATGCTCTTTAGCTTGTAAGGCTTTATAATGTTATAAGACAACTTGCTTTTTTTTGCTGAGAAGTAGTTTTGGGGAAAAGTTATATTTTTGTAAGTGGCCATATATGATACCTGTGAAGTGTTTACCTTTATCCCTCCACTGCTAGACTGTCAACGCCATTGAAAGAGGAATTTCTGCCTTGCGCAATGTCGGCGTTCACACTGATGTCATTAATCTTCACGCTGCACACTTGGTCCTCTTCACTGTTCCCTTTCTCATTAAATAACATTCCTTCTGCCTGGAAATGACATTCATGAAAAAATTGCTGGGTCATCTGTGGTTCCTCCTCCTCTCTTTGCCCCGCCCTCCTGTACTGTCACCGAGTCCACTCCCTTCTCCACCTCCCTACCCCCTTCTGTCCTCTTGACTCACGGAGCATCAGACCTTCGTGGGTCTCAGCAGTACCTTCCCTCTGCACTATTCTCCTCGTAGCCCTTCAGGTCATTCTTCACACTGCTGCCAGAATGAGCTGTGAAAAACAGGACGGATCAAGCTTTCCTTGCTTAAATCTCTGTAGTGTCTTCCTGCTGCATTAAACCAAAATACTCACCCATTTAAATCTGCATTACATTAAGATTGAAATTTGTGACTAGACCTACAAGGTCAATGGCTTAAAAACCAGCAAACAAACACTCCTGAAAGGTGAGCACGCAGGCTGTCCTGACTTGGTTCCAGCACAACACTAAAAAGACTTTTTCTTAAAGGGGAGAAATTAGCAAGTTTAAAGTCTGTGAGAAAGGAAGGGACATCCCATTCGAGGAAAGTAGAGAGGCTCGAGGCTCAGTGTGACCAGAGTCAGAAGCAGGGATGGTCTGATGAGGTTAGAAGGTCAAAGCTGTCACTCTTCTGTGTGTCCCTTGGGTAGAATTCAGTTGCTGAAGACTTTTAGATGTAGCTGTAGTTGGGGGAGTGGGAGTGGCGATTCCTAAATTACCTGGGAAAACAAAATTGAAGATTGAAGAAATATATATAACCTCCTGCTTTTCACTGGAAATCGTTAGTTTCTATTTATTAAGTCCCAAAGATACCTGTACTTGGACATACAGCGTTGTTCATACTTGAAGGTAACAACCTGAAGTTAACAAAACTTCGTTTCTTTATAAAAGATTTATTAGACATTTTACCCATTTAAAATTGTCCTCCCCAATTTGACTTAAATGAGATTTTATTATAGTTATTTTAGAAGTTAATTCTTGCTACTGTTCATAATAAATTTCCTAACTGGCTTCCCTCAATTTGTCTTTCAGGCTTTCTTCAAAGACCCAAATGTTATTCCCAATTTGAAGTTACTTTCAGATTCTTCTGGACAGTGGATCACATTGGGTAAATAAAACTTACCGTCATCTTTTCAGATGACGTTTTATTACTGTGACACAGTTTTGCTCAGGCATTTCATTATCCGCATCCACACTGCAAGTAACGACGGGCTGGTTTGCTCACATCAGGGTCTCCAGAGAGTCCTTGCTCCTGTCCTGGCCTGACACACAAGTCTCATTCTCTCTTTGCATTCACTGGGGAAGTAGTTCTTGCGCCTTCTGTGGACTCTGCGAGATGCAGGGAACAGTAAGGGGAACTCCGGAAACTGGCCGACATGGACAGACCAGTGCAGTAGTTCACCAGCAAGAGGACAAGGGCATCATGGAAGATTCTACTGATGTGAGGGTGCCGCTGCCCCGTCTTTGGGGACCAAGAAAGCAGCTGCCACGAAGCATTCCTAAAGTAATACATAAAGCCACGGAAGACAGTCTTAAATTCTCACAAAGAGAATTTTATATATGTAATAATTTCGTAGTACCTTGAAACGTAGCTAGAGATCTTTAAAGAAAATCACCCAGGGATGCCTGGGCGGCTGAGTCGGTTGAACGTCCAACTCTAGATTTGGGCTCAGGTCACAGTCTCCGGGTCCGGGGATCGAGCTCTGCGTCATCGTCATCGTCAAATTACCCAAACACTTAGTAACATTCAAATCTCTTAAATAGCTCTCAGGCCAAGGAATTAACCGGAGTTAATAGAAAAGGCTATTCTAAAAACAAAAACATGAACAGTATATTTCAAATTTTAGATTGAAGTGTTTTAACAATAGAACAAATTGTTCCTTTTAGGAGGAAAATCTGTTTAGTAATGTAGCTCTGTGCTCAAGAAAAACGTAAGTGGATTTTAAATGAGATGGGTTGTTTTGGTAAATTCGTATATTGCGTGTTCACGGAATTCAAGTATTACACAAAAATTAAAGTATTAGTCAAGACCAAGGTGACCAATAGTTCATGATGTTAGAATTCGTGGGTCACATTTTATTGCTTTTGGCTAAAGACCACTGCAAAATTTATAAAGGAAAAAGCTGGTACAGTGTGATCTTAAGAGTATTACACAGTTAAACTATCCGAGCAGATGTACCCACCAGTTCAGAATCTTCAAAAAGAAATCATCAGAGGCACATGTCACAGTGTTTATAAAACGTGTTTGGCATAACTTCAGTCAATTCCTTTATAAAATAAGCTTCGTTTAGAAAAAAGTCAACCTTCCCCTGAATTGGTAGACCCTTCACAGAGCAGTGAGACAGTACCGACTTTGGTCCTGGGGTTTAGCAAAGGCCCTGCGACAGAGCGCTTCTGAAATTCCACATGCGCGCGGCAGAACCAATTAGAGGGCCTCCGGCAAGGGGCCAGGGACGCAGCGTTCCAAGTCCAAGGCAGAAGTCTCCAGGCGTTTGCAAGGGACCTTCTGGACCTTCTGCCAGCTTTTCTTTGTCTGAATTATTGACCGTCTTCCCTCTTTTTCCTCTGCGGGCCTTTAGAAGCAAAATAAACACCTTTTCAACGTGAGAGAGCAGACATTCTTCTAGCGGGTGAACCGCTTTGGAGAGCGTCCCAGCCGGCTCTGGTGCCTGGCCTGCCGCTGCTGGGGCTGCTGCGTCCCCTCCGCCAGCGGCCACGGCCCTCTGCTCACGGACACGCTGAGCCCTTTGCCGGCTGACGCATAACAGACGCATCCTCTGTGCTCAGTGAAGGGTGTCACAGTCGCTCCTCCTTTAATTCCCAAAACAAGTCCGAGAGGCGTTATTGTTATTATAAATCCCTGTTTCACCAACGCAGGGTCAGATTTGGGAGCTCAGTCACTGGCACCGTCTTAAGGCTGGCTGGGCTCAGCAGAGCTGAGAGTCAGATCCAGGCCCCAGACTTCCAGACCCTGACCTCTGCGCTCTCCTGCCTCTGCCATTTCAGGTTTGAGACAAGCACTGTCAGAAAAGCAAAAAATAAATAGGAAACCCCCTGTGTATGTTAATGCTGGTATCAAGGGGGAAAATATGTTCTTCACTTCGTATGTGATCCTAGCAGTGCAATACGGATCTTGCAAATGCTGGAGATGGAAGTTTACTGTATTCCTGTGTGACAGATAGCATGTGCTATGGGCTGAATTACGTCCCCTCCAAATTCTTGTGTTAAGCTCTAACCCCCAGTGTTACAGTATTTGGAGATGAGGCCTTTGGAAGATAATTATTTGAAAGTGTGCAGTGGGAACCGGTTGGGAGGCTTTGAGTGCCTCCCAGCCCAGATATATGATGGGAAGCTTGATCCCGGTGAGGTGTCGAGCAGGAATGAGGACCTCGTATCAGAAGCAGGAGGAAAGACAGCCCATGGAATGCTAGAGACCTTGGCTGGATGATGATGTAGTGTTTTGCGGAAGGTAGAACTTGGAAGTGATAAAATTGTGTGTTTAGCTGAGATCTCTAAACCAGGTGGTGTGGGAGCTGCCTGGTTCTTTCTGGATGTTTATAATAAAGCAAGAAAGGAAAAAGATGGGTTGAAGAAGGAATTGTTAAGGAGGACCCAGAGCTTGAAGATTTGGAATATCCTTAGCCTTTTCATAGTGTTAAAAGAGAGAGAGAGAGGGATTCGTCTGGAGAGAACAGAGGCACCTGGATGACTGTGTGACGCGGAGAGCGTGCACGTAACTGGGACTCACCCAGTCACTCCAGCAGAAGCCCGGGTTCGGGGTGGGGTGGTGCCCGCAAAGACGCTGCCAGTGTGAGGGACGGGACAGACCATAGATCCTACGGGACCAGACCAGGGAGCCACTGGGCTGCAGGCACGGCTGTTCTTCAGGAGCACAGAAGGGCTGAAAGGCAGCTCAGGTCCTCAGGGCCAGCCTCCGTGTCAGGAACACGCGGAAGGGGACACCTCAGAGGCTGAGCCACCGTCCCCAGCAGGTCGGGAGGGCAGAGCATTGAACCAAAGGAGAGTATTCTTGAGGCTTAAAATCGTCAAGAAATTTCCCTTGCCAGGTTTCGGGCTTGCTTGGGACCATCACCCCCTTTTTTTCTGTTTCTCCTCTTTGGAATGGACGTGTCTGTTCCTTGTCTCCCTGTCGTATTTTGGAAGCATGTAACTTGTCTGGTTTCGCAGGTTCCTAGCTGCAGAGGAATTTTGCACTGGGATGACTGACCGTCCAGTCTTGCCCATATCTGATTGAGGGGATCTGTAGGGGAGACTTTGGACTCTGGACTTTAGGCTTGGTGCTAGAATGAGGTGAGACTTTGGGGGCTGTTAGGATAAGTGTGTTTTGCATGTGAGAAACACATGAGTTGGCAGGGGGTGGGGGAGAGGCAGAATGCTGTGGACTGAATTGTATCCCTTCAAATTTCAGTTGATGAAGCTCGGACCCCACCCAAAGCCCCCATCTCAAAATACCGTTGCGCTCGGGAGTTAGGACTACAATATGTTTTTGGAGGATATAATTCAGTCCATAGCAAATGCTCTTTATATGCTTCTGATCAAGTGGTTTGAATTTAATGACGTTTCTCGCCGTCCAAGTCCTCCTGCCACTCGCCCCATCAGAGCTAGGGCATGTTTATGAACATGGGCTGTTGCCCAATGTCAGCCCCTCCTCCGCTGGCCACCAGCCGGTCTCTGAAGACTGGATCCACGCGCTCCTGCTCAGACACAGTTCCTGTCTCCAGACACCCATCATGCCTCCCACAAGCCCGGCTCAGGACTGGAGTGAGGCAGCAGGTCTTGGCCGGACTCTGGGTGGACAGCCGAGGAGGAAATGCGATACTCGCCAGCGCTACTCTTCTCAAGCTCCAGCTCCTCCTTGCGTCGGAGACAAAGCACGTGAGTCAGGGAGAGGGAAGACGGAGGGCTCCCCCACCACGGTATGCTGTTCTAGGGAGCACCTGCAAAGAACATCACCACCCCTTTACAGCTGAGGGCGTGTGCACTCGCACATGAAAGACAGAAAAATTGGGGCACCTGGGTGGCTCAGTGGGTTAAAGCCTCTGCCTTCGGCTCAGGTCATGATCTCACGTCCTGGGATCCAGCCCCGCATCTGGCTCTCTGCTCAGCAGGGGGCCTGCTTCCCTTCCTCTCTCTCTCTCTCTGCCTGCCTCTCTGCCTGCTTGTGATCTCCGTCTGTCAAATAAATAAATAAAATCTTAAAAAAGAGAGAGAAAAATTGATTCACTGAGACGATAATAAAAATATTCTTTTTACTCTCTGTGTCTTTCTGTAATTTAGAAGAACCTCTAATAATGGAAAATCCATTCCTAAAGGACACATTCAGGAAATCGGCTTGGGATGGGGGAAGGTGTGGAGGGGGGAGAGCTATAGCTACAAGGGAAAATAGACAAAACACTGTGGTTGCAGATTTCTCTAGTTCCAGCCTTGCGATGACTCCATCAGGGCCTGGTCTGAAGCTTACCTTGACTGGGAAAAGCTAGTTTTCATAATAAATGCTGTAAATGAGATCACAAGGGAGAAATTTTTAAATGAAGAGAAAAAATTTCCAGACCTCCTCAGGACTTTAGAAACACCCGTTACTTAAATTAATTAAAGTTTTTGTAATGTGAATTATAAGGCATTGAACATAATACAAATGCAAACTCATTTCACAAAGTGGTTCCTATGCTTTTATAGGCACTTCTGACATATGGCTTAAAAGTGATGTAAGAACACGTACCCAAAACCTGTATCTCATGCTCACGTGTTTCTAATTTACATATCCTTCATGTAGGCCTGAAATATTGAAATTTTGTTACAGACTTAATGATTAATCAAAATGAACAAACTGCAAAATTAGAACTTAATAAAATCCCTAAACTTTTAAATATATCAGGATATATGTCATATTTGGCTACTTAGAATTTCTGCATGGTGGTACTTATTTTGGGAATAACTTAGAATACTAAACTAATTTTTATATCTCTATAAAATAATATTTTTCAGGAACTGAAGTGAAAAAAATTGAAGCTATAAATGTTCCTTGTACACTGCTTTCCATGTCATTTTTTAACCGGTTGTATGATGAAAATATTGTACGAGACAATGGACATATTGTTAAATGTTTGGATTCTTTTTGTGATCCCTTTCCTGTTTCTGATGAGTTACGAAAAGTAAGTATAGATTTTTTCAATTTCACTAATGGAATTTTATTTCAGGAAATGCTTAATGTCAAAAACTTTTGCCTGCCTAAAATACATAATCTCTTTTCAACAATAATGATCAGCAAGGCATTCATGGGACTTTTCCTATCAACTTAATTATTTGTATATTTCCGTTTTCAACCGGACGCTACTGACTTTTATGCGTACAGGCCAGAGATGCTGCTAGACGCCATACAAGGTGCAGGACGGCCCCCATGGTGACTTCTCAGACCCGACATGTCAGTGGTGCTGGGGTCAAGAGATCCCCTCAATATGGGGCTCCTAACGTATCACATGAATGTGTAAAAACATCCCTGTAGTACTAATCCTTTGATCTCACTGGTGACATCAAAAAAGACATTTGATTAACTCATTTCTGTTTTAGTGAGAGGTGTACTGAACTTGAATCAGAAGACCTAAATTATTTACCTAATTCCTGAGTTATTATACATCAGATAGTAGCAACATTAGGCAAATCACTCACTATCTAGAGCCGGAAGATCCTGTCTGCACCACACAGTATTAAAATGCCCAGGCAGGGGAGATGGGGCTTCTGGGTGGCGCAGTGCATTAGGCTAGTGGGTTAGTCTGACTCTTGGTGCCGCTCAGGTGCTGGTCCCAGGGCTGTGAGATCGAGCCCCGCATCACGCTTCACGCTCAGTGCAGTCTCAAGATTCTCCCTCTGCCTCTCCCCACAGTGAATAAGTCTTTTTAAAAATGCCCATTTGGAGCGCCTGGCTGGCTCAGTGAGAAGAGCCTGTGACTCTTGATCTCAAGCTCATGGGTTTGAGCCCCGTGTTGGGCATAGAGAGTACTTAAATAAATTTAAAAAAAAAATAAAACTGCCCATTCTATCCTCTTTCTGAAATTACTGAGATAATGAGTTGAGAAAGCATTTAAATGCACTTTTTTAAAAGTGTGAAATGTTAAGATGAAACGTATTATTGTCATTGTTACTTTAATTTGAAGAAAGACTACAAAGTGGTTAAAAATTAGGGTTTCTTTTTTTTTTTTAAGATTTTGTTTATTTATTTGACAGAGATCACAAGTGGGCAGAGAGGCAGGAAGGGAAGCAGGCTCCCCCCTGAGCAGAGAGCCCGATGCGGGGCTCCATCCCAGGACCCTGAGATCATGACCTGAGCTGAAGGCAGAGGCTCAACCCACTGAGCCACCCAGGTGTCCCAGGGCTTTTTTTTTTTTTTTTTAAACCAGCCTCTGCTGCTGGTTTCTCCTCTTCCTACCGCAGCCCGGGACGTGCCTCTCGGTGGGGTCGCATGTCCCGTCCGGCTCTGCTTCCTTGGGGCCCCCCGGGTGTCTGCTCCTGGGTGTCTGCTCCTGGGGCTCTGCCTGGGCACGCGCCCCTCGGAGTCCAGGCACCTGCCCCCGCTCCGGGGAGCCTCGAGGCCACGGCCTCTCCCTGCGCCACGTGTCTGTCTTCGGCCTCTCCGGGAGCTGCCCCGTGTGCAGGCCGCGCCAGACTCCGCTCTCCGGCCCGTCGCCCCTCTCTGCAGCTGCCCAGTTCCTTGCTGCTCGGCGGCCACGGGCGAGGGGTGACCGGGCTGAAGAACATGAACGCAGGCCTCCAGCGTTAGGCTGAGCCTGACAGCCGCAGCGCCCCTGTCCCCTCGCCAGACAACCACGTGCTTCCCCGTGGCGGGGGAGGGGACACAGCCTGACTCCTTCAGCACCACCGACCTACCCTCCGAGGGCCCTGCAGCTGCCGGCTGTGCTCATGGGGAGGGGCAGAGCAGCCAGCACGGGCACTGCTGTCCCCCATGTCCCCAGAGTCCTCGCGCTCCTGTATCTTCAGATTATGTGGCCCCATCAGTTCAGTGAGGAGAGCGGTCCCTAAGGAGTGTGTGGCTTCATCATTCCTGAGCGCTCTGTCGCTCGGGTTAAGCCAGATGTTTGGGTAGCTGCGAGCCGGGGGCACCCGGGAGCCCGCGCGGGGACCTGTCTTCTCGCGGTGGAAATGGGCTTCCGCAAACTCATGGTAAGTCACTGTGCATGGACAGCACCATGAACTTGATTGTGTTTTAACGCCTCTTGCCTGGCAACCTTGGATGAGTGTTCGTCAGAGACCCCGGTGTAGATGATTGGAGGGAAGAAACATGGTGTGTTGCGCACTCATCCCTCGTTTGTAGCTGCCAGGTCAACAAACGAGTCAGTTGTGTCATGCCCCGCGGTACAAGGACATCACCCCCATCTCACACAGTCCCACTGTTTGTTGAAGGAGCTGGCAGGGTCTCCAGAGAGCAGGAGTCGGTGTAGACTGGTGGTTGCAGGAAGCAGAAGCGTGAGCGGGCTGGGGAGGCCAGGCACACATTCCGGGGGGATTAGGATGCCACCACTGGGGTGGCCTCCAGATTGAAGTGAAGGCTGTAGGCCTTACAGGACGGAGAGGCTTGTCCACTTACTTAGGGCTCCTTGACTGCCCAGAAGTTTCCTGGCATGTCCACGCTAGCAGCACAGTAGCACAGGAACTAAGGACAGAAACGAGTACGGAGGAGCAGAGCGGAGGAGAACGCTTAGATCGCCTTTTACTCTTTCCACTGAGCCTCAGGACGTCGGGGGAAGACGGAGGGAGGACGGGAGCCGGCCTCACAGATCACTCCTTTCCGTGCTTCTTTAAAAAGGCCTAAGATTATCTGTAAATGAGTAAATTGGGACTTCTGAAAACAAGACTTAGAACCTCAGATCATGTTACGTGAAGATGAATTTTATCATCGTCCGTAGGTGCTGCTCGTGGAAGACTCTGAGAAGTATGACATATTCAGCCAACCCGACAGAGAGGAGTTTCTGTTCTGTCTTTTCAAACATCTCTGCCTGGGCGGAGCCCTTTGTCAGTACGAGGACGTGCTTCCCCCGTATCTGCAGACCACAAAGCTCCTCTACAAAGATCTTGTGAGGTAACGTGGCCAGAGCGCAGCGGGCACATCGTGGGTGGCGGGCTCGCCAGCGTCTGCTGGGGTCCCATTAGCTCCCAACTGTGTGAGCGCGGCGCCCTGGGGCCCTCCCACGGCCACCCACTGTCCCTGCATCCCTGGCAGACCGGCCACCACATGGCGCCTGCCCCCGGGCCTGTGCGGGGCTGACGCTCACTGGTCACCGTGGTTCCCAGGAGGGGGAAGGATTCCTGTCTGGCCACAATGTCAGTCCAAATCCCAGTCCGTTTGAGGTATCCTGCTGGGGAGCTTTTTTCTTTTTGAAGCTCAGACTGGGGTAAAAACTTTATAAATCATTTGTTTCTACTTTCATTGGGTTGGGTTTTCAGTGATGCAGACCCTGCTTCACCTGCACAGGCTAAACAATAGGAACAGTGAAAGCAAAGGGTCCCGGGTTTAGTTACGAAATTTTACTTTCCTAGGAAATCAGCAAAATTAGCTTCTCATCGGACTCTTGACTGTTGCTTATAATCACCCCAGTTGTCACTTGTGCTCCGTGTGCCTGGCGACTGCACAGCAAACTGCACGATTTCATTGTCTTGCTTTGTGCTTTGGATATGATTTTAAAAGCAGAAATTTTTTTTCTTTAATTTGTCTCTGATTTTTGTGAAAAAGTGACTGTATTCATACATAAAGATGGCGAAAAGAGTGATGTTTGAAACAGAATTCAGAAAAACATATACATACTTCCATTCTGAATATTCTGTCCTTGTCATTTGCAGCTCATGAAAACGTCAAAGCTGGCTTCTGGCACCGCCTTGTAGCATGCCTCGTGCCGCATACACACACACACACCCGCACACAGCCTGCTGCCTCCGCGGCGTGCTCGGCTCCACTGCCACACGGACTGAGGAATTCCTCACCACCCTGCTCCGTGGTGGAGGGGATTCTGCTGGGGGTGTTTGAAATAGAAATAAATGCAGACCAACGACCTTGAGAAACTGACATTTTCCCCAGCATCCCCTTCCCTGGATTCTCACCTGTGACTCACTCCTACGCTCCTTGGTGCTAAGAACACGTACGCTCTGGGGGGGGACAGCCACTTGTCAAATTAAGAGTCAAAACACGGAGCATCTTACGGAAAGAATAGGAATCGAGTCCACAGAATCATTTTAGCAGGCAACGGGCAGGTGTTAATTTTGTGCACGGAACCAGGCTCCAGAGAGACAAGAGGAGCATCAGACAGTCCTTGACCTTAAGGAGATTATTAGAAACTAACATATCATAAAGGAATTGTTTAAAATATTTCATAGGTAAAAGTGTTATGAAATCAAGTGTTCAGTTTTGTGTAGGCAGATCTTTGAAGCTCTTGATACTGCAATAAATGCCCCAGAAGTGCGAAAGGGGAGATTGTCAGAGTGGCTGTGAGCAGTTGGGGAGATCTGGATGGGATGGAGCCCCCGAGGCTGGTGCAGAGAAGGACAACCTGTCCCCACCCTGGCTCCCCAGGCATCACGTCCCAAGTCACATTTACAGCATTGCTCTTACTAGAGAACCACTAAGTATTTCTCTTGATCCGAGTTTAAACATGCTTACGAGTTTTGTTGCTGAATGAGGAGGAGATGTGGAATTGTCTTCCCAAAGCAACTTTGGTAGAAAGTTTAGATTAGAATAAATATTGGCTGAAGATGGTGGAAGTGCCAACGCCAGGCAGTTGGATGGGTTAGGGGGTCACAGCCCCTTCAGAGCTCTGTGAGTTTGCTTACCCCTCGCACGGCCTGTGGCCTTTCTCACTTGAGTTGTGCTGACTTGGGTCAGGTGCCTTGTCATTTGGTTAAGGGGAGGACAGAGCCTGGGTCACTACCACTCTTACCGAGGGATGTGGCAACTCCAGGTGCTATTGGTAACTTCAGAATCCTGAGCCACATAAACAGGTCGTTTGTACCAAAGACAGACTCGTTTTCTCCTGTTCCTTCCCTTGACTTTTGGGGCTTTTCACATTTTTTAGAGACTGTCTGCTGTCTTTCTAACTGTACGCACAGTAGTGGCTGTACCTCATCTCCCCTGTCCCGGCAGAGAAACGTCACCACCAGTCCCCTCCGGAAAAGCCCGTCGAGCTGCACGTCTGTAGCGCCGCGGGTGCACCACGGGGCTGGGCGCTCGCGGTCTCTGGCTCCCACGGAAGGCCCGAAACATTCTCAAGATAGTTTTTCCCTTCTCCGTTATGACGTGGCCTATAAAGTAGCACTTGTTAAATGTCCTGGGAAGTGCCTTCTCTTCGAGGATGATGGTCCTTCCAAATAAGAGGCTGGCGCCGGAGAACCGTCCCGTGAGAGAGCGGACGACCGGTCGTTTCCGTCCACTTCCGGAACGTGGCGCGGAAGTCCTGGCGTGTGCCCAGCGCGGCCTTGCCCCTCCGGCTTCCGGTATGGAGCGCACGCTCCAGGCCGAGTGTTTGGAGAGGCTGTCTGAGCTGCGCGACTGCCCCAGAGGGGACGTTGCAGGGTTTGAACTGAGGGGCTTGGACTGCGGCTTCCGACGGTGGCGACGCGGAGGAATTCTTGTTCCCCCAACTGAGCGGCTCCGAGCCGGGTCCGCACCATGTGCGGGCCGCGCGGGATCCCGCCTCGGAAACGAGCATCGCTGATCTTAAGAAACCGCTCATTATTTTATTTCTAAACCATTCGTATAAACACGCTTTTAAACAGAACTCTAGGGAAATAATGTTCTCGCACCCTTGAAAGCTCGCTGGCCTGGAGGGAGGGGCTGAGCCCCACAGCCGGGGAGGCGCTGCTGCGGGCCTCCCGGCCTGGAGCCCGGGTCGGTATCTTCTAGTTGGCGAGGCGATATCGGGCAGGTGATGCGCTACTTGAGCTGTAAAAAAAATAAATTATTTTAGCGCTACTCTAAAGTAAGAGTAATACAGGATCAGAGGAAATAAAATGGAATAATACCGTTTATTTCTGTTAGGAACCAACTTCTAATAACGTCCAAATCGTAGATCCTTTTTTGTGAGTAACACAGTTATGGTGCGTGTTGGTATGTTTGAGTGATTGTTAAATACTAAGTTTTCTTCTAAGTTTATTTGATAAGCATAAACTTTTATAAGGGATTGTTTGGGGCTTTTTCGGTAATAGTTTTAAACTGGGCTGATTTGCGTACAGTAAAGTGGACAAACCCTAGTGTACCTACAGCGTAGTGAATTTTTATGTCTTTGCCCCTATAACCACCTGCAGGTTAAGACTTAAAATCAGTTCTGACCATAGCTGTGTTGTGTTTTGATTCAGGTGTTACGTAGCTGTGTACACTGTCAGTGTTTTGTGCGTACTGGTTACAGCCATCCCCTGTGTAAGCACAGAATCTGGAGTGTAATCTTCGGTTTTTAAGCAGTCTGTGTTAAGCATTTGAGAAACAAAAGAAAATGACGTTGGGGCTCTGGGGCGGCTCAGTCTCTTGAGCTTAGAACTCTCCACCTCAACTCAAGTGTCCGGCTCAGGGTCGCCAATTTAAGCCCCATGTCGGGCTCTGCGCTGGGCATGGAGCCTGATTTTAAAAAGAGAGTGACTTCAATCCATGTCATAGAGATACAAGGAAATTAATTCCATGATTCCTGGGTTTAAATTTGAATGGAATGTTTTCAAGATAAAAACTGCCTAAGAACTTTGAACCCAGAAATGAGTGGAATCTGGCCACCAGTAGGGGCACAAGCTGACACACACTCACATGCACACTCACACTCCACACTACGCCCCTTCCTTCTCCTCATCTCTCCCTCCCCGTTACTCTTCATGTGTAGAGAAGGAGAAGCAGTACTTGGGCCTCTACAGTGAAAAAGACAGATGTCTTCTGTTAAGTGTCACCTACACGTGACCCACGTGAGGCGTGCCATGTGTCAGCGAGTGCAGGGAAAAGGATGGCACGCCATGTCACCTGACTGTGCTTCCGGAAATAAGTGCCTTAAATACCTTGCTTAACTTCTCCGGTTCTGTCGTCTATAAACTTGGTAGAATAGTGCCAACCCAGCCCCCTGAGCTGCGCGACCTTCACACGAAGTCCAGCACATAAGGGCGTTCGGCAGATTGTGAGGTGTCACAAAGATCACGCGTCTGAGTCTCTCGCTGTGGCTCATCCCCCATGTCCCAGCGCGGCCCCCACCACACATGCCACCGGCCGTCTTCCATGGGGAGACAGAGAAAATGACTGTCGCTTGACAGTGCATAATCCGTATCTAACAGTGCTCTTCATCCCGCTCAGTTCTTGGGGAATCCTCACGGGAACAGTGGCTTGCCCACGTCACATGGGAGAAAAGTGATGTCCAGGGGGCTGGTGTCGCCCAGTGTGCAACGGTCACTCAGGGGCCGAACTGCCACATGCGCCGAGGTGGTTAGACCCAGAGTGCACGTGCTCGTACCTGCCCCGTGCAGCTGTCTACACTCCAATCCCACTCCTACCAGCTCCTCATTTTCTAGAAACTGTCTCTGGCCTGGGAGACCTTTCGTCATCAGAGCGCAACGCCTCCAACCGTCCGGGTTCATTTGCTGCCATTCGGCTGGGTGACCTTGCTCCGTCCTTGGATGAAGCCGCAGACGCCGTCCGTTTCAAACCCGTCTGCGTGGACGTTATCTGTTTGTTATGTAGGAATAAGAGCACCCGAGTACTAACACAGACCAGTATTTTAAGTGTCTCGTGCCAGTGCTTGCTGTATTTAAAATGTACCCTTTTCCCCCTACTTTAGTGTTCGGAAGAATCCTCAGACCAAGAAAATACAAATTACTTCTTCCGTCTTTAAAGTCACGGCATATGTAAGTGCGGAGGGGGACTCGCAGGCGATCAGTTTACTGCTTGTTACTCAAAGGGCTGTTTCAGCTGCCATGAGCACAGCCCCTTCAAGGTTACGCCTGGGAGAGAAGGCGAGGGTCGTTAGTGCTTTGTTAAAAGTGAAGGTTGGTGAGGTATGCTTTCTGTGGAGAGTCACCCAGACCTCTCCCCCTCCTTTCTGTTGTCCGCGGCTGATAACTGTCCTCACGCATTCACGACCCGTGTCTGCGAGTGGGATGGAGTCGGACATGGTTCTCTAGGCTCCAAGCCACAGTGCAGATGACAAGCAAATAAGAAGGCCCTAAATGCTTGAAGTCTAGGGCCCTACAAAGATTATTTGCATATTTGAAGCAATTTCTGAGTTCCGTTCCTTTATTCAATCACTTAACAAATATTATTGACCATCTATTGGGTATCAGCTACCGTCTTGGGCTAGGGCACTTTTTGTTGGTAAACAAGAGAAACGTAATTGCTTCCTTCATAGTAGGGAAGGACCACATTCTGAAGGAAAGCAAAGATAGAAGAACATTGCAAAATAGAAATTTTTGCAATATGACACTTTAAAAACACTTTTATAAAAGATAAGATTTCCTTTTGGGCTATAAAATCCTTAAGGTCAAGAATTATGTGTGTGGTACAGTAAGTATGTACAGTAAACTGTTCCGTCAACAGATATTTTAAAATAGCAATTTTTTAAAAAGATTTTATTTATTTATTTGACAGACAGAGGTCACAAGTAGGCAGAGAGGCAGGCAGAGAGAGAGGAGGAAGCAGGCTCTCCGTGGAGCAGAGAGCCCAATGAGGGGCTCGATCCCAGGACCCTGGGATCATGACCTGAGCCGAAGGCAGAGGCTTTAACCCACTGAGCCACCCATGTGCCCCAAAATAGCAATTATTTACTAAATTACTGTCAAAGATTTGATATATGTTTCATGACATTTTAGCAGAAAATACAGAATAGTCAACTATGTTGGCTATTACTTAAATGTCGTCACAGACTAAGTCTTCTATAATGTAGCTTTATCTCTTTCAGGACTCCGCTGGCGTGTGCTACCCTTCGACCGAGAGTCACGAGCAGACCTTCTCTTACTTTATTGTGGATCCGATCAAGCGTCATGTTCATGTTTTATACCACTCTTACGGTGTGGGGGAAATGTCCTAACACTGTTCTTTCAGAGTCTCTATTTTGATACTGTTTTATATACCAATTTTTAATTTTAATGCCCATTTATAGGTAAACATTTACTTTGCAAGTTAATTCCAGTAAAATACAGAGAACCTGCTTGGAGCAGAAGGAAACGAATACCAAGGTACCTTCCTGTACGTGTATCTGGAGCTGTAACGTAAGGACCGAATTCCGTCCCGAACACAGTCGACACTAGTGCAGTCGTGGAATTTTTACAGAAAGTTAAAAAAACTAAAAATCTAGTTCATATTTGTTGCATTAAGATTCACGTAAGTCCTCAATTTTCCATGTGTTTTGTTTTAGAAGCCAGTTAGTTGTGGGTTGAAAATGTGGCGGGAAACCTGAGGTTGCTCTATTGATCATTAATATGAACGGTTCACTTTTTAAATCTGAGTTTCATTACCTTACACTTCTTTATTGCATAGAGATTTACATCTCTAGGGCTGTGAAGTGCCTCACAATTCCTTTGCTTCATTTGTCCCACTTAAGATCCTCAATAAAAAAGTAATGTTGTGAAAGTCATCGCCAACTCTGCCGTCACATAACAGAGCTGCAGCCGTCGCCCCCTCACCCCCCTCCCGCATGGCTCGGAGAGGAGCCGCCCACGCGCGGGAGAGCCGTCCTGATGGTATCAGGTTGGTGGACGAGTAGAGAGCAGGCGCCTCACGTTGCATTCTCCTGTGCGCTCGTTATGTTCGTAGGAGGAATATGTGACTTAAGATTTTTTAATGGAAAGAACGACAAGGGGTGTCTGGCTGCCTCAGTCCTTGGAGCAGGCTCTGGATCTCGGGGCTACGGGTTCGAGCCCCACGTTGCGGGTAGAGAATCCTTAAAAATAGAATCTTGGAAGAAAGAGGGAGTGAGGGAAGAGAGATGTGACTGGCGTGCATCCAAGGTGATGAAGAGCGGGCCAGCCGTGCTGAGGCTCTGGGGGGAGGCACGCCTGGAAGCTGTTGTGCGGATAGGGACGGCAACCTGGGGCTCGTCCCTGTGGATTGATCTGGAAAGCTGTTGGCAGTTGGGGTAGGGCGCTCAGGGCAGCTCGTCTCACTTCCCACGCAGTGCTTGGCACATTAAATGTTGGTTGAACGAGTATTTTCCAGACACGCTCCTAATATCTGTAGGTATTCTTAAACCATATGAGAAATAAAATGAAGAACTAAACACGCCAGCCCTGCCGCATCCCGCGCAGACCCTGCAGCCTGGGGGCCCTCTCCTAGGCGTGCACTTGGCCAGTCAGTGCTGTGCGAGGTAGCGTCCTGCTTCCTCTGGGGAAACCCTTGGTCTCGGCCGGCGGGGCCGGGTCGTGCATGCCTGTGTCTGCAGCGCCTTGGCCTGGCCGCCTCGGAGGAGTGGGCGGGCTGTCAGCTCCTGCAGAGGGCGGGCGTGGGGGTGGGAAGCAGGAGGCCCTGGGGTCCAGGTCCACAGCCTGAGCTGGAGACTGCTCCTGTGGGGTGGCCAGTGTCCTTTCTCTGCTTCAGAGGCCTTTGAGGAGTGTGGCTCCGTTGTCCTGGGATCGTCGTTTTCAGGACCCATCTGTGACCGTGACCATGCCCGTCAGCAGCACTGAGGGCAAGAGGGCGCTGAAGCCGGGCGGCCCGACGGCCCGGGCGCTCGATCCTGCCCGTGCTTGCGGTGTGACTGAGCTCACTGTCATGTCTCATGCCTGACTTGCCTCATCTGTAAAATGGGGACAGTAGGGCTTTCCTTCACAGGTCCCTGTGAGAATCCCGTACATTCGTTGTCTCACTGGGCTCAGGATGGCGCCAAGCCCCATGGCCTCTGTGCGTTTGGGCTCTTTTCACTCGCGAGGGAAGAAACACGAAAATATCGGGAGCGAAACTGCCTGCACACAAAGGTAAGAAACTGTCTTCCCTAAGGTCAGAGTTGCTTTTTCACAGGTTCTGTTATTATGGGTTTGAGCTGAGTGTACAGGAGGTCAGGAGGTGGGGGGCGGGGGGGCGAGTCCCCTGCTCTGGCCCCTGGGGACGCAGAGGACGTGCTTGTGTGTCCGAGAACCTCTATGGTAGCACTTTGCAAACACAGGATGGTCTGCCCACCTCGCCTGTCTGCAGTTGCTCAAAAGGGGTCGTGAAAACAGGACTTGGTTGTCTGTGGCTCACTCTGAGCCCGCCGAGCTCCCTGTGCCTGGTACGGTGCCTCACGCTCAATGGACACTCGGTGTCTGTTCTCCGGGGGACAGGGAGAAGGTGGCCATGGAGGGGTGGGGTGGACATTCCCAGAGCATCCTCACACTCAGGCTGTCCCACACACTGTTCTGACCCTGACAGAGCCACACTGGGTGGGACTAGACCCCCAGCCCAGGCACGGGACAACAGCAGCCCCGGAACCCGCTGTCACCAGGTGGAAATGGAAGCTGGGGGACCAGCGACAACAGAGCGGTTTCCTGAGACTCAAGAGCATTCTCCGGAAATTCCGAACGTTACTCAAGGGATAAAGGCCCACCGGAGTATAATCTGGACCAGTCTAAGGTGTCTTAGGCTGAAGACCAGAGAACTTGGGACACTGGGGTCCCGTGAGCAAAGAGCATGCAGAGGTATGAATCACAGGTAGTTTGGGGGCTAGCAGGGGCTGAGAAGGCCGAGGCAGGAATTGTGTGTAATGACTCAGAGGAGGCAGCTTGACCCGGTCACTGGGGGCTGTGGGGACAAAACTAAGAGATGGTGGCGCAGAGCCGTTGTTAAAACCTCTGGGCAGGGCAGTAGCATCACAAAAACGCTATTCTGGAAAGATGAGTCTGGCAGTGACAAACTGGGGAGAAGAAAGTCCAAAGTCCAGAGATCAAAGAGATTATCCTAGTTGTCAAAGCACAGAGCTGCCCCGTCTGAGCTACTAGTGAGGGAAAGGTTTCCGGGCATCCTGAAGTATGTGACAATGGATTGCTCAGCAGAAAAAATCAAATACGGCCCCCAAAACGTTAGCAACGGGGTGAATTATAATGTGTTGAGTCTTTGAGGTACCAAGGACTGAGAAGTAGGAACTGTGGTAGGAAGTTGTGGTTGTAGAGGGGAAATCCCTTGTCCTGCCCTGTCATTCGTGTCCCAGCCCCAGGCTCGACCAACTTCGGTTGGTCATTGCGGCTTTGAAAACCTGACTGTGACGGCCGGAACAGCTGCCTGCAGGGGTCTTATCCAGGGGACCGGCCAGGACCCGTCTTTCTCCAAGTGTCAGTGGGTCACCTACTACATGCTGGGCACTTCCCAGGCACTTGCAGCAGACACAGCAGTGAACACATCGGACAGAAAACGCGCTGGAGAGTTTCCGTCCAGGTGCCCACAACAGCGTTAGGTACAAGGAGATATACGAAGAAATACCTAGTTGCTCTCAAGAAACCTCAAGTTTTGTTGGGGTCATGACTCACAGTTGTCAGTTTTTTCAGTCTGACGGATGTGAAGTGGTATTTATGATTTCACTCGGTCTCTGTATGAGCTGGAGCATTATTCTGTGTGATTCCCTTGGCCACGGATACGGATGTTGGTGGCAGCCGCAGTGCTCTGCTCTCCACTTCGTCAGTTGAGAGAGACAATGGATAAAAGAACAGAGCAAAGAACAAATGGGAAGTCTGCGGTCGTACAGTAAAAACCACATTTAGCAGCGTCGGACCCGCAGCCCGGCCGCTGCCATCCCTGACCTCCTTGTCCTGACCTGGCACACGAGGAAAGGTCAAGGCAACAGACAAGGCAAGCTGGGTTGGTTTGTTGTGGGTTGCTTTTTTTTTTTTTTTTTTTAAAGAGGAAAAAATAAATCCCTGGGCTTTAGCAAAGACTAGGAACCTGCAAATTATTTTTCTTGCCCTTTTTCATGACTAGAAAGCTGTGTGAGAGAAATAGTAAGATGAAAGCCAGCTATAGCAACATAATTTAACTTTTATTCAACCAGATTCTTGATCAACTGTCACTCTGTATTCCCTTAACATAGACTAGAACAGTTGTGCTGCTTCACAGGACTTCATCGGACAAGGTCAAGCAGGGCAGCAAAGCTCCGAGGGTTAGGGTGCGGAGGGCGCATTACAGGGTTCCTTAAAATCGGGCAGCGGGGCTGCTAACGTCTACTGGATGCCAGGCACAGTGCTAATCCTGCAGGCACCACGAAAAGACACAAAATCGCCGCTTCTTAAAAAAAGCACAGGCTAGTGAGAAAAATATGTAAAGTTTTTCTAGAAAATAAATCGCAAGTGATTAGTCTGAGGGGCACCGGCCTGGCTTGGTGGACGCGGCCCGGGACTCTTCATCCTGGGATTGCGTGTTTGACCCCACATTGGACACAGAGCTCACTTGAAGAATAAGAAAAACAATTTCTTTAAAAAGAGTGGTTAGTCTGAGAAGACCCCTCCAAGGAGGTAACATCTGAACTGAGATGTCAGCGTTTGAACGTTCTCAGCAAAACAGCACAGGCATGGGCCGGAGACGGGAGTTTAGCGTGTCCCCGGCACTGACAGATGTCCCTGTGGATGGGCATAGCGGGCGAGAAGGGGTGGCCTGAGTCGAAGCTGGGGGATATATTGCGCACATCTTAAAAGCCAATGAAATGAGTTTGGAATTTAATGGTAGTGCCACGGGGAACCACTATAAGGTTTTAAGCAAGGGAGTGGTGTACATTTTTAAAAGATACGAAGAGTGCTGTGGCTACTGTCCGGTAGATGGAGTGAGAAGACCAGGAACCGCTTGCCGTCTACTGAGACGTGAAGGCAGTTTGGGCGTGGATGGCTTCGGTGAAGGTGGAGCACGATGGGCCCAATTGTGTCCTCCCCAAAAGTCATATGTTGAAGAACCTCAGAGTGTGCCTGTGTGAGGAGATGAGACCTTCCAGGAGGTAATCATGGTGACGTGGCCTTCATCCAGTGGGACTGGTGTCCTGATAAGAGGTTAGGACACAGAGGCCCCGAGGGACGGCCGTGCAAGGACACCAGAAGGCCGCAGCCTCCAAGCTGAGGGAAACCTCAGGAGAAGCCAACCTTGCTAACACCTGGAGGCTGGACTTCTGGCCTCCAGAGTCTGTGGGAAAATTAATTTCCATCACCACGCTCTGTGATACGTTGTTAGCAGAAGCGTCACCGAGTAACATATGAGGGAGATAGATGTGTTCTGGCGGATTTTTGGACCCAGAAGCAGTGTTACTTGTTGGACAGAGCTGGAGGTGGGGAGTGGAGATTAGAGAAGTGGAGGCTGCGTCTTGGTGTCCTGGTGTCAGAACTTTTAAAACGCGTCTGCTTAAAAATGTGTGAGGAAACATCTTACGCAATAAAAGGGTAGCAGTTGAGTGAAGGTCCTGGAGTCTGGAAAGAAAGATGGGAATTACGCGGATTGGGGTAGGGGCGGCCGGCTGCGCAGTACGCGGAGCGGCCTCCGGTCTCGCGCTGGGAGTGCACGGGCCGCGCCGGAGGGCGCGCTGGAAAAGAAAGGAGCAGGATAACACTTGTGCAAGTGAAAGTGTCCAGCAGATAGAAGTCGGCGGCGGCGTCATCCCGGTTGGCGGTCGTGTGCGGGACACGTCGG